CTTCTGCAAATTGAAACTTTAATGGATTGCATTACTTCAACCAAAAAGACAAAACAAAGACAAATACTAACTTCACAGAGTTAAAGACTAAACAGTTTAGCAGTATTGGCAGCAATCGAATGAATTTAATAAGAAATCTAAGTGAAATGGTTAATCTATTATTGAAATTACCAGTAAACTTATCATCAATTTCAATATGAAAAACCTAAAATAATGCAAAATTTTCAAAATAAAAATAATTCAAAAAAACTAACCTTCGGAGGTTGATTTTCCATTTCTGAATGATTGTGAGGGATTTTTGACCGTGAATGGTTGTGAGGGATTTCGCCGGAGATGGGGACGGAAATTTTCGGAGATGAGGACGGATTTCGCCGTAGAGAGTGAGAGATGGAGATGGGACTGAGTTGTGATTTTTTTTAGGTTTTAGGTTATGAGTTGCGATTACGGGATATACTGTGGACGGTTCAGTGTTCCGATAATTAATATTCGTGTTTGGAATTTAAAAATAAAATACGCGTAGCGATTATAATGGCGCTTTAAAAATCGCGTTGCGATTTTACGTATTGTCGTTGCGATTTACGGATACGCTTTGAGATTTACGTATTCTCGTTGCGATTTACAGATACGCGTTGCGATTTACGTATTCTCGTTGCGATTTACGGATACTCGTTGCGATAGTCAGAATCGCGTTGCGATTTATATATTCGCGTTGCGATTTTCATATTCGCGTTGCGATTATGGAAAATCGCAATGCGAATTTGTACTATCGCATTGCGATTCTTCATAATCGCGTTGCGATTCTGGGAACTGATTTGCGATTCTGGAGATCGTGTTGCGATTTTTATTTCGCATTGCGATTTTGTTGGTCATTTTGGCAAATCCAAAAAAAGTTGATTAAAATCGTATATTATAAGACATTTTTTGTCACTGAGGTTATTTTCTCTATTTACAAATAGTTTATTTTGAACATCGATTTTTCATTGACCGCTTAATCATTCTGAACATATAATATACCGTTTTCAAGTTCTAATTGAATGGAATATAAATTCATAATTTAGTGCTTGAACTTTTTCAAAATTTTAAAATGTCCATAATTTTTCAATAAATCAATCATTGATGCTAATTAGAGAAAAAATTCAATCATTGACCATCGAACAATGAAATCCATTAGTGTTACACGGTGGTCCAAATCAGAGAGTTGTTTGAATGCATGTGGAACAAGTACTTTCCGAGTTTAGACGATGGTTGTCAAGCTGAAAAAAGAAAGCCTTTACCTCCGGGGATTCTGTCCAAATCCTGAAAGTTGATCCAATAATGCTGTCGGAACCGTCCTTCAGTTGGACCCGGAATTGGGCTACGACGTAAATGAATTGGGTTAGAGTCGCCACCGACCACTTTAAAACGATATTAGGTGGGTCGGACACCATCTTACCTGATCTGCATTGTACCAGAAACACGTTGGGTTTGAGAGTCAGTTACGGTCAAGGAAGGATTAGTACCCTTGAACCGCCCTTTCGGTACCAATTAATTTATAGGTTGTCTTTTATTGCAAAAATTTAAAAATTTAAATTAAAATTTAAAATATTCGATTCGAGTTACTTACCTTTGATCGGTTGGAGTTACTACTGGAAAATCAAAAATGTTAGATGGTAAATATAAAAAATATCGGGTAAAATTAATTAAAAAATAAAAAATGAAAAGAATATTAAATTTTAAAAGGGAAAATTGTTGAAAAAATGACAAAATAAAAGGAGAAAATACCATATATATATATATATATATAGTAATGGGAATGACAATACCAATAAAAAATATAAACAAGGTTGAGTTGTGAAAGGAAAAAAATGTTAGGAAAATAAAATAAGAAAAAAACAAAAAAAAGTAAATAAGTAAATAGATAAAGGGGTCAAAATGAATTGAATTGGACTTTGTGGACCGAAATTGATACTAAAGACCAAACTGGAAAAAAAAAATTTGAGGCTTAATTTGCAAAGAATAGATAGTGACTAAATTAAATGAATTGAGAATCCATAGGTGAAATTACGAACGATGATCAGATTGTAATGCGACTCAAAGCAACAAGGACTGCGAAGAGAATTTAAGAATCTCCTATTTACAAATTGGTCCTCGATATATAAATACCAAAAAAAAGCCCCATTTCACTAATTTGTAACATTTTCTCTCAAATTCCTTCTCTCAGCTGAGAGAATGCTCTCAATCCTCTCCCTTGGGCGATTTCCGACCACCCGCCGCCACCGTCCACTGTCGCCGAACGCCGTTACGGTCGCCGCTCGCGGCGGCCGAGAAAATCTAAACTCCCACAAAACACTCTCCTCTACCCCCCAAACACAGATTCGAAGCTCGTTTCCCCTAAAACTACGCTTAAAGCTTGGATCTTTTTACCTTTAAACCGACACCTTTCGTTTTCCGATGGCTTCTCCGAGGCCTTTGGCTTTATTTTGCTTGGCTCTTGGGTTGGCTTTTCGTGTATTGTGGTTTACTGTTGTGCTTGCTTGTGATTCGTTTTCTTTTTGTTTTGCTCCGATATTTGGCTATGGGTGTTGAGGTTCGATATAGATGGTTATGTTGGTTTGTGGTATGTTTCTCGTTCGATGATTTACTGTGTTGACCGATATTGTGGTCTCGATTTTTGACTCTCTGTTTCTGTCGTTGGTACTGTGGTTCTATGGTTTCGTTCGTTCTGTGTTGATGGCTTTCTGATCTTGGGTTCGTAGCTCTCTATGTTGGTTGGTCTGTATAGATGATAGTTGTGGGTTCTATGATGGTTCCCCCCCTCTGGCAGTGTTCTGGTTGGTATTTATAGGCCTTCATCGGCCGTTGTGGTCTCGAAATAGGGGCGCTCGTGACCGGTCACCCCGGGATGGGTCAGTCCCGGGGATCTCGGCCGTCGTTGGCACTGTTGCCCGTCTGTTTCGCGTAGCTCTTGGTTGCCCGGGTCGTGCGGCGCCTTGGTTGAAACTGGATATGAAACCTAACATGTTGCTGGGCTGGTTCAGGCCCAATCTTCGTTTTTGGACCCTGACAAAAATAATAATAATAAATTAAATTAAATTAATAAAATGAAATAAAATAAATATTAATATAGATTATATAATATATGTTTCAAAAAAATATTTTTTAAACTATATATTATATTTAAAAACGTTTTCAAAAATATATATTATATAGTTTTCAAAAATGATTTTAAAAATATTATATAAATTTTTCAAAATGTTTTGTTAAAACTATATAGGCCTGTAAACGAACCGAACGCACACGAACGGAGGTATGTTCATGTTCGTTCATTTAATAAATAGACGAACATAAACGAACACGAACATAAACGAACAAAAAATTTTTTGTTCATGTTCGTTTATTAAGGAATATAATATGTTCATGTTCGTTCATTTAATAAATAAACGAACATAAACGAACACGAACATAAACGAACACGAACATAAATGAACACGAACATAAACGAACATAAACGTTGGAGACCCTACCTTCCATTGTTCTTTCATGAAAAATAGTCGACAATGCAAATAACCAAATCTACAGTGATAAATAGCGTAAGAGTTTATTAGCGGTGATGAAATGTTTGAAGATATCAAATATTTTGATCGATCTTTTAAAGATATTAAATTATTCACACAACTTTAATTTAACACTATAACATTAATCTTAGTGGTCCATGATTACATATGAACAATCATTTTTCGCTATTACACTCTTTTCAGAAATTGCATAGAAACATTTGTTTTGTTTTCTGGCAAATTCTATATATTTTTCTCTTTATTGATGCTCATATACTTCCTATTGTTACCTTTATCTTCCCATCTATTTCTAGAAAGAAGTATGATGTTTTCTTGAGTTTTAGATGTGAAGATACCTACAATAACTTTACATATCAACTATTAAGCCAAATAAAACAGAGAAAGAGATGAAAACAGGCCTGTAAAACTTCATATTGCACTATAATATAACTTGTTTTGAAGCTTTCAGCGATCGTCTCCACTCTCTAGTGAACACTAGGGTTTGGGGAAAAAAGGGGAAATGAATATAGGTGCGATGTGCCTCACATGTTAACATATTGGATTTAATCTCCAAATAAAATTGGGTTAATTATGGAGTTGGTCATCAGAATATCAGATTAATTAATATTTTTAAGATACTTACAAATTGGTCACCAAAATTGATTTAAGAAGATTGAGTTAAACATAAATGAATGAACATAAACGAACATAATCGAACGAACATAAACAAACATAACCGAACGAACATAATCGAACGTTCACGAACGTAAATGAACGAACGAGACCTATGTTCATGTTCGTTCATTTAATTAAACGAACAAAAAATATTGTTCATGTTCGTTCATTTAATAAATAAACGCACATAAACGAACTTTCCGCCGCACGGTTCACGAACGGTTCGCTGAACGTTCAGTTCATTTACAGGCCTAAAACTATATATTATATAAATTTTCCAAAAATGTTTTTAAAAAATTATATATTATATTTTTAAAACTATATACTATATAATTTTCAAAATGTTTTAAAACTTATATATTGTACATAAGTTTTTAAAAACTATATAATATATATTTCAAAAATGTATTTTTTAAAAACATTTTCAAAAATTATACTATATTATTATAATAAAAATAAATAAATTAAAAGCTCAAATTCGGACGAAAATAAGTGTCTACAAATGCAAGTGCTGGTCTTGAAAACTGATCGACTGCAGGTCAATGATCGTGCTGATTATGAAATCCATATTTTTTTATGTTGATTGTATATGTCATTTTAAATTTTATTTGGGCTCATCCCATACGAAAAATTTATTATTAATATACATGTACCCGTCCTCAAATATTTATGGATCCACTGCTGCTAATAGAGGTTGAAGTTGGAATGTTAAATTCAGTGTATAGCAGAATGTCTACCTAGTTTAGGACGAGTTTTAGTGCTTCTTGAAATGAAAAGGGCAAATTATACAGATGAGGCAATTAGAAAGGCAGTTCTTCCATAGATAACGGGATCAAGTTTCTAAACACTGAATTAAGGACATCGCATCAAACTAAAAGAAAACCTGGGGAGGAGCCTCCGCAGTTTACAGTCCTACACATGAGCATAGCCGGAGATTCCGCACGGGTTCGACTTATCTTTTTGAAATTTCATTGGTTCGGATCAAATACCTGAAACCGTTTTTTGAAATTTTCTGTCAGCTTGGTCTCCTCTTCTTTGCTGATGGTACAATTCCTCCAATCAGCCCTATCAGCCATGTTCAATAGGCCAGCCACAACCTGAACAAAATTTAACACCCATCACTTCCTTTGCTAAAAGATCATCCCATAAGCATTAGCTATAGGTATTAAAGTATGTTACTGACATCATAATTACTACCCTAAAACACCTTTCTGGAAAACAATGTTAAGCCTATGGTGCGAGTTCGAAGATATAACACGCATCCCCACTTCCTAAATGAATGTCAATTGAAGCATGAATGCTAATAGCCAGTACATTGACAAGAACAGCTCCCTATATAACAAAAATGAATTTTCTTTTTTCCCAAATAACAATAGAAAACGTCTCATATCTACTTTTTTTATTCAATGTTACAATTGACATATTTCATAAGAATCTTACCTCACGTCCAAATTGGGCAGGAAACTTCTCATTTTCTTCAACCAAATGTAATAGGATTGAACCGTCGGGGAGCTCTACATAGAAGCAGCTAACATTCTTCTCAAATTGTGTCCTCAACCATTTTCTGCACTCAGAATTATTGTTGACTGCACGAGAAATACGAGCAAAAAGATTCAGAGGAACATAAAGGGAGTAGGGAGATAATTTTGAGGATTAGAACTGAAACTATATTCAGTATCCCTTAGGGACACTGGCACAGACACCATAAAGAAACCCATATAGATGATAATTTTGAAGGCAATGCTATCAACATATATGCACCGAACTCGCTGAAATGTAACATATAACTTACATTTTTTGCTAACAAAATCAAAACCCAATTTTTCAGCTGCCAACGTAAAAATGTCTTTAAGAACAGCTGCTTTGGATGATGGAACAGGAACAGCCTACACAAAAAGGACCGGAACATACAATTAGATGCCAAGATAACTAGTTAACTGTAAAAGAAGCTGCAATATTAAGGAAGCAATCATAGAGAGAAACTGCGTAACCTAATGCTTTATGTGTAATTATAATTTACTCTTGAATAACTGAAAAAAGGATGAAGGCAATTGCTTATTTATTTTGGGAGCCATAACAATTCTGCATCTGCAAGTGTACTTAAGATGAAAGACTCGATAAGCAGATAAAGCTGCACTGAACACTTTACCACTTGTTAGACATTGTAAAGTGTACCTCCATGACAATGTTCAGAAGAGAAATCTCTTTTACCTGAAGGTTGGCATGGGTGCCACGTTTGGATATCCACTCAAAGAACACTGCTTCTTTTCCCTGGTTTTTATAATACATCCTCAGACTGTTCTGGAGTTTGCCGAGTTCAATTTCACTATCTGCTGGTAAGAAATGTATTTGGCAAATGCTCAACTGGAATTATCAGAACATGATCTGGGACAAGTGGGCCTTTCGCCAGTGCACAGTAGAAATTCTCTCCTATACTTGTTACCAGATGTGACTCGACATTCGGGCTTGATAAACAAAACCAGCACTCTTTTGATCTGTATTCAAGTAAAAAAAAAATAAATACAGTGGTTTATATATCTTACAATCTGCAGTCTGAAGTATCAATGTGTTGGCTAATCAAATTTTCTGCTAAAATTTGACTAGATTAACAATAATCTGCACTAGCGACGAAAAATAAAGGCAGTAAAAACTAACCTGTTAGCGTTACTAATGCTAGATACAGGTTTCTTACGAGAATAACTCTCACCATCATCCTGTAAACTGTGCTTAAAATTGCAATCAGGACCTTTTTCACACTTTCCTTTGATAATAAAATCAAGACAAACGCCTCTCAAAAATTGTTCCCTTGCATCAACATCATGTGGAAAGTTGCACTGTTCTCCCCTTGGACAAGTTCCAGAAGATATAATTTAAAACAAACTTATTAGCATCGCCACTCCCACGCTTTTGTCGTTTGTTGGACACATCGTATCTCCAGTATTGTGAATCAAGTTCATTATCACTAGCTCTCTTTGTGGCTTCTTTAGGATGATCTACTTGGTCAACTACTGTATAAGGTGATAAGGTAGTATTTGGTGGATTTGCACTGATCTCAGCAGCTGACATGACTGACGATGGAGTTGGAGAAAGTGCATGAAGAAATTTCTGAGGAGCAGATGCAGGAATCATCAATCACGGAAAAGTTAACAGCTAGATCTAGCAACGCAAAATCATGATATAGTGCAAATAGTTTGATCATGCAAAAATTCTTCAAGAGGAAAATATAATGGTTTTGAATCTTCTTTCCCTGTTTCTCTCCTCTGGTATTTTCTTTGCAGGGACATATGAACTCTCTAAAAAGGAGGAAAATGCAAAGCAGAGCCAAGAAATACTCAAGTAGACAAGAACAACAGCCTTTTCAAGATGGTCCAGTGAAGGTGAACTATCAATTTACATGTTCCTCAACTTAGATATTGATATTATAAAATTGAATATTAATGCCTAATTAATAGAGGTTTAAAGGTAAAAGTCTTGCTGAATACAATAATATTCAGTCTATACTGAGTAGAAAAAAGAAAGAGTCGAAATAAGGAAGTCAAACCATTTTCTCTTTATTCCCAACAGAAGCAAGACCTAAGAACCGAGTTACATGTGCAGCATCAACGTTAGAATAAGGTTCACGAGCATAAAATACACCCTTAGTACCTGCAATGTGATAGCTAACAGGGAAAACAACCATTAGCAAAAGAAAAGAAATAACTTTTAAGTTACAGTAAATTAAACAAAGAAGCACAATTACAATAAACAATAGGGTTGTAATGTCAGTACTATTGCATCTAGGACATTATAGTCTTTCACCACAAAAACTTCTCTGAAAAAGGCCACATCTAAATGTCTCAGTTGACTGGCACACAACTGTTGATTTTCCAGTTAATAGAAAATGCTGGTAACTATCGATTTCTCCCTAAAATATTTCCTTCCAGCGATAACATTCTTTGCACTTGGAAAGGAACCATTAATGCATATGCCATAGTTTTAGATATTTCACGAAAAATGAAAGTCAATTCCTAAAAGTGGCTAAAACTACGAGGCGGTACCTGACATGGATATGCACACTACACACGCAAAAATGTATACGTATGTGTATACAACAAACTGTATATGAGAATGAAATTGTTGTTCTGAAAGGGTATGATAGGATTGGAGATATTTTAAAGAGGAGTTTGTGTCAAGCTTGTGTCTTTTACAAGATCAAGATGACTAGCAGTTTTCAGGTAATCTTTCATTTGATAGTAAAACACCGATTCCTTGCCAACAGAACAAGACAGAGATGTGAAAAAAGAAGAATATCAGTTCAAAGTATCAGATGTATCTTTCATTTCTAACATCTCACTTAGATTATGGCCTTATACCATGATAAATATAAGGATTAATGTACCTTACTCAATCATTTGCTTTTAACATTAAGTTGGGTTCAGTCAGAGTAACTTGAAATCTATGTGAGATAAGAATCATCAATAAATGCTAATTTGAACAAGAACCAGCAAATAAACACTCATGGTTATGAAAACAGCATCATAAATCTGATAAGAAGAACAAAACAGTGTATTTTGAGGATTGCATGCACCACGTATTGCAAAGCCTTCAAACATTACGAACCGTGGTTTGATCTCCGTGACTAATTGGGCGACAGTAGAGTCACTGCCAGAAGAATCAGAGATTCCTGCTGGAATATCTGATGCAGTAGCTCTATTTGTGACTCCACTTGGCCATTCATTAGTAAAAACTAATTAAGGAATTCAAGATGAACAACCTAAAAAGGAATACAAATTAGAAATTGAAAAAATTATGCGCCTAGCAAAGCAAAGGATATCTTAGAAAGAAATCAACTATTCCAGGTTCCTCGGCGAATGCTCGCAGTGTGTCAATGTCATCTTGACTATATGTTCCAAACTGTTGGCCATTAGACGACTGCCTACCAGATAAGGAAGCCACAGACAAACCTAAATATAAGCACAAGAAAATCAGATATGAAAGAAAATTTGCACATTCACTTTCTATCCTAATTTCGTCTACTTTCTCGGTATCCAAACAGAAACTGCTTCAAAGTAGTTAAAAAATACCATGGAGAGTGAACTTCCCGCCGCCTCTCAACCAATACAAATTGTCGCAAACCTTGAAACCGTCCATTTTGAAACCTTGATTAGCTGAGTTCCTCGATACAGCTGACAAAACCTTGGGCGCGCCAACTCCGTAATCGCCGATGAAGTAAGTTGGAAGAGGAATTTGGGACCGGCCTTCAACGTAGCTCATCAATTCATCGAGCCGATCTGGTTCGTCGGGGAAGAACTGTCCCACGCAAAAAAGAGCATCGAAGGGACCCGCTGATTTGTTCACCTGAAAAAAATATAATCATCTTTTCAGCTGCCAACAGCTCAAAAAGAAAAACAACAAGCTTAACAGAAATTCGGATTTAAAAAAAATGAAACCAGAGAAAATTACCGAGTTGACTCGCTTGAAGAGCTGATTGAGACGGCCTAAAACGTCTCCGCATAGTAGAATTCTCGGAGGAGCCATTGGAGAGGCAAAGTGCGACCGTGGAGAGTGAGAAGCTATATGCGCCGTGAGTGGTGATGCTCTGAAACGTAGTTGAAGCCAGGGGGAAATGGGCTTATGACAACGGCTCAAATTGCCCAAAGTAGCATGGGTCTGTTTCTTTAACTAAAAATATTTTTTTCTTCTCATTTTTCAAAATTAATTCATTAATGTAAAATATTTTTTTGGTCAATAATTTTTTTTATATTTTTTAAAAAGTGACTTACCTAATTTTTCGTAAGTTATTTTTTAAAATTTTCAATTCAAATAATAAATATTCAAAATAATTTTATTTTATGAATTTAAAATTAATAAAATATTTTAATGTCATTTTAATCAAAATATTAAGTATTAAAATATTAAACAATATATTAATTAATATTTATAATAATAAAATACTCAATTATATTATAATAATATAAGATATTATATTTTTATTATAATAATATATAATAAATTATTAATGATAAATAATAATATTTATGTATTTAATATTAATATAATAATCTATTAATATTTTAATAAAAATATTTAAAATATATTAAGTAATACTTTTTTAAATTTAATATAATATTACTACTTTAATAAATAATTAATATAATTTATAATATTTTTATTTCAATAAAATGTATTAATCATAATATTTTTATTAATAAAAATATAGAAATAACATTTTAATAATAAGTAAATAAATTATTTTAATATTTTAAAAATAATAATATTAAGTTTTCTTATTCATTGTATTTAACATATGAAATAAATAATTTTTTAAAAATTTCCAACTAATGAAAAATGATTTACACAATCTCTTTCAAATAGCATAAAATATTTAAAAAATATATTTTTTAAAATATATAATTTATTTTACGAAAAATATTTTTAAGCTAAAACGAACGGACCCTATATTCAATCTCTATTTTATCTCCAAAAAATAAACAAATTCTATTTGTTTGGGCCTAAGAGGGACATTCATTGCATCCTTGTTTGGGCTCAAAGTTCTTCACTCTCTGGGCTATGTTCTTTGTAGATCATTCACATATTTGAGATGACGATGATGCTTGATGGCTGGATTTCGTTCTTGTTCACTGCTATGACATGAAAAGAAAAGCTTTCATTGTTTTATCTTTAGCGAGGTTTAGCCATGGCGCTCTCGCCTTTCCCAGTAGCAACTCATCAAATTTTCTCAACATATTCACACTCTCTTTACTATTCCGTTTTTCAACAGAAGTGCAGTTCCAGAGCACTCAAGTTCAAACCTTGTTGTTTTTCTCATCAAACAATTAAGGTTGTTGTTGACACGAGGAAGAAGAGGAAGCCTAAGCCAAGTTTTTTGGATCAAGTTAATCAAAAATGGTCTCAAAAACCCATCATTTCGACTAGAGAAAAGTTCCCATGGCAAGAAGAAAAGGAACTTGAAGAGGAAGAAGAAGAAGTTGAAAAAGAGCAGTCTTTCGAGGCGACCACATCCGAGTCAGAAAGTGATAAGTACCCACGAGTTGAAGTGAGGGACCCAGTGAGTTTCCCTTTGCCGAGTCGGGTAATCGCTGCTCCTTGGTCTCATGGAAGTGAATTTAATAAACCCCGTTTTAATTTTGTTCCTGGAAGTCCACAATTTGAACCTCAAATAGATAGTAGTTTTAGTGAGAAACCAATTAATTTTCCAGTAGCTGAAATTAACTTCAATAAGCAAAAGACTGGATTATCAGTAGGCAAAGAAATTACAATTGTTGAGGGCTTAAATGAGGTGGATTCTTCCGGGGAGAATTTAGAGGTTTCTACTAGTGGTAACGATGGTGGTTCAATTGGAGGAGAAGACAAGAGAAATAAAAAGAACAACACAAAGATGGCAGAGAGAACGATACCTGAGCATGAATTGCGGAGGCTAAGGAATGTTGCACTGAGGATGGTGGAAAGGACGAATGTCGGAGCTGCCGGGATCACACAGGCGTTAGTCGAGCTCATTCAGGAGCGATGGAAGTCTGATGAGGTGGTCAAATTGAAGTTTGAAGAGCCTCTTTCTCTTAACATGAAAAGAACACATGAGGTTTTGGAGGTTAGTTAGTTTCTACATTATTTCGATTCGTTTTATTACTGTGGTTGATTGCATATGTTTTAATGATCCTATTGCTAGTGTCTTTGTTGGTATACTTCTCGTTGATGAACTTATCTGACAGTATTATTGAACTAAACCCGAATCTTAGAGTAAACTTTGTTTGGAATTGAGTAGCAATCTTATTTGAATAATGTCTTTTGTATGTCAGAAAAGGACTGGAGGATTGGTTATATGGAGATCGGGTGGTTCAGTGGTGTTGTACAGGGGCATGGCCTACAAGCTTCAATGTGTTCAATCGTATTCCAGGGAGGATCAGGCAAATAAAAATGCATCGGATGTTGTAGCTAGTAACACCGAGAATATTGTAGTTAAGGAATCTGTTAGGACCATGGAGTTCATCCCTTCTTCGGAATATGTAAAGGATCTATCTAAAGAAGAGCTCATGGACTTGTGTGAACTCAACCATTTGTTAGATGAGTTAGGTCCACGATATAAAGATTGGTCAGGTCGTGAACTGTTGCCTGTTGATGCAGACTTGCTTCCACCTATTGTTCCTGGATATCAGCCCCCATTGAGACGCCTTCCTTATGGGGTGAGACATTGTTTGAAGGACAGTGAAACGACTACATTCCGTAGACTTGCGAGGAGAACGCCTCCACATTTTGCCTTAGGTAAATGAATGTACGAGCTTTTCTTTGTATCACCGAATCTTTTTCTCTTGATGTATTCGGTTTCTTTATTGTTATAGGAAGAAATAGGGAAGTGCAAGGTCTGGCGCAAGCTATGGTTAAGTTATGGGAAAGAAGTGCTATTGCTAAGATAGCCATCAAACGAGGCGTACAAAATACGCGCAATGAAAGAATGGCTGAAGAGCTAAAGGTGAGAGGTTACGGATATTGTTGCATCGTGATATGTAAATCTAATTATCTATATGATGACTTAGTTAACTTTGGACTACCATCTTTCGTTACTATCTATTATATCAAACTTTTCAAGACTTATTTTTGTAGATGGTGCCTCGTTAGATACCTGTTGCTAATTGCATATGCATTATGTATGTGTAGCATTTAACAGGGGGACATTGCTTTCCAGAAACAAGGAATTTATTGTATTTTACAGGGGCAATGATTTCGTGCCACCTGTTGTTACGGAGACATTGAAAGAAATGCAGAAAACCAGAAATCTTCGACAAGAGGAGGAAGAGGAAGCACGAGGAAGGGCCCTGGCGTTGGTTGGATCTAATGTTAAAGCTTCTACACTTCCTTTGGTTGCTGGAACCCTTGCGGAAACCACTGCTGCAACCTCTCGCTGGGGGCACCAACCGAGCCCCGATGAAGTGGAGGAAATGAAGAGAAATTCAGCTTTGAGTCAACAGGCCTCACTTGTCAGACATCTCGAGAAGAAACTAGCTCAAGTAAGTTACGGATAAGTTACAGATGCTGAGATGCAAGAAGACACGATAAAAGAATTCCCGGACATTTTAAAACTATGACATATTTTCTGATTAGTTCTGTCTTTATAACTTTCTGTGGTCCTAGGCTAAAGGGAAGTTGAGAAAGGCCAATAAAGCTTAGCCAAAGTGCAGGAGCATTTGGACCCTGCAGATCTCCCAACGGACCTGGAAACTTTAAGTGAAGAGGAAAGAATGTTATTTCGAAAGATTGGTCTGAGTATGAAGCCCTACTTGCTCTTGGGGAAACGAGGAGTTTACGATGGTACAATAGAAAACATGCACCTCCATTGGAAATTCCGAGAGTTGGTAAAGATACTGGTGAAAAGAGAAAGCTTGGCCCAAGTGAAGCATATCGCGATATCACTGGAGGCCGAGAGTGGTGGGGTGCTAGTATCTCTTGATAAAACTACTACAGGCTATGTTATTATTATCTATCGAGGGAAAAACTACTCGCGTCCTCAAGAATTGAGACCGGAGAATTTATTGACAAAAAGACAGGCACTGGCTCGGTCAGTTGAACTTCAGAGATGTGAGGTAATATCATATTGAACTCTTGATGATTTATACGAGTCTTCTCCCACCAATTATTTGTTATTCCGACTTCCATCTTGATCTAATTCTCTTCCTGCATTTTCTAGGCACTGAAGTATCATATCTCAGACTTGCAGGAAAAATCGAGTCAATGAAATCGGAACTGGTATTCATTTTATATATATATTAAATCACATAATGATGATGAACAAGATGACTTTCTGAAGATTAATGTCATAATAATATGTTGTTTTGATCCAGGGTGAAATGAAAGCGGGGAAGGGGGTTGATCCAGTAAAAACTCCATACTTGTGTTTGAACGAAGCTCTGCTTTCAGACGAGGATATTGAAGAGGTAAATAACCCGACAAACTTCATGTTCATGTCCGAATATGTATTAAACATGGGTATTTTAGGATAAATGAAAAACTCAAGTCACATAGCTTGATTCCAGCTATTACAAGGTTAAATATCAGTTCAACTCACCTAGCTTGACATGGCATGCTTGCCTGAACCCTGCATTGATTCTTATAGCGAATATGTTTGCGTTTGAACCAGGAAGATTGGAAGGATGAATATTTAGTATCATACGGCAGTGACGACGATGAAGGTTATGAGCAAACGGAGCCAGATACACCGTTTTAGTAGCTGCTAGACCTTATCGGAGCATGGAATATCAGCTACTGCAGATTGTTTTAATAAAGGCAAATGCTTTAACATGCCAGCCAGGTAGCCCGGGAAAGATCATATGTATAGCCATAGCAATGGAGATATTGGAAGCCGAATTCACATTGTGGCTTTTCAGTGTATCAGAGAGCAATCACAATGGCAGGGGTTCTCATTGCTGGAATAATCCGGCAGTCAAAGGCAGAAAGAATATCAAACTGAAACCGAGTCTTATCCTATCATTCACGTAAAACTACCTATTTTGAAGCAACCTTGTTTGTACTGTAATACTGAAGTAGAATTACTCCCTAGTGAGCTTTTTCCATGAATTTTTACTATTAAACCATGAACAGACAACTC